TTGCAGTGAGCGAGATCACGACCACTGACTCCAGCTACGCTGACTGAACAAGACTCCGTTCAAAAAAAAAAAAAAAAGAAAAAAATTGGTTCCAAAAAATTCTGTGGTTACCAGCTGAGTTTTTTTTTTTTTTTTTTGTGGGTTTTTTGTGCTTGACAACTTTTACATTTTGAAAATAGTTTTAACGCTACTAGAAGTTGCAAACAATACGCACAGAGCTCGTCATGTCCTGCACCCACGTCCTCCCTCCTAACAAGATCTTACATGACCAAGTCCAGTATCAAAGATCAGAAACACATTGCATGAGTGGAGTTAAGCCCTGCCAAGAGAGGGGTAGTAAATAAATTAATAGGAGGCCGCGTGCGGTTGGCTCCACGCCTGTAATCCCAGCACTTTGGGAGCCGAGCAGGTGGACTCTCCTGAGGTCAGGGTTTGAGACCAGCCTGGCCAATATGGCAAAACCCACTTCTATTAAAGATACAACAAATTAGCTGGGCGTAGTGGCAGGCTCCTGTAATCCCAGCTACTGGGAGGCTGAGGCAGGAGAATCGCTTGAACCCAGGCAGGTGGAGGTTGCAGTGAGCAGAGATTGAACCACCGCACTCCAGCCTGCGAGATGGAGGCGAGATTCCGTCTCAAAAAAAAAAAAAAAAAGCCAAATTGCAGTGGCTATGCCTGTAATCCCAGCACTTTGGAAGGCCCGGGTGGGTGGATCACGAGGGTCAAGAGATCAGAGACCATCCTGGCCTAACACAGCGAAACCCGTCTCTACTTAAAAATACAAAAAAATTAGCCAGGCGTGGTGGCGGGTCCCTGTAGTCCCAGCTACTCGGGAGGCTGAGGCAGGAGAATGGCGTGAACCCTGGAGGCGGAGCTTGCAGTGAGCTGAGATCGCGCACTGCACTCCAGCCTTCGGGGAGAGCCAGACTCCTCTCAAAAAAAAAAAAAAAACCAGAAAAAAATAGAAATAAAGGAAACTCATGTTAGAAAAAAGACTCAGGACATTGATGCCTGATAGAATAGTGACTGATTCCTTACAGTACAGAATTTACTTGGATTTCTCTATTACAGTTTATTTTATGATTTATGTACGTTATTTATTTTGAGGTTTCGTAAGTCATTTTGTAAACTTCGACTCAGCGCATTTAATTTCATTTATTCTTCGTGGAGCTTTGTGTTCTCCATGGAAATTAATTCAGAGAACTTCCCATGTACAGGGCAGTCCAGACAAAAGTGGATTCAATTATTCACTTTCTTTTTTTTTTAATTTATTTTTAGTTATTGTCGAACCATAATAGTGTACATATTTATGGGGACATATGCGATATTTTGATACAAACATACAATGTGCTATGATCAAATCAGGGTAACTGGGACATCATTACCCCAAACATTTCTTTTGTATTAGGAACTTTTCAATTACACTTGTTTAATTATTTCAAAATAATAATAAGCCTTTTTTTTTTTTTTTTTTCCCCTTATGGAATCTCGCCTCTGTTGCCTAGGCTGGAGTACAGTGGTTCAATTACAACTACTGCAACCTCCGCCTCCGCGGGGTTCAAGCGATTCTCCTGC